CTTTGTTTGTTCGCAAGAATTTCTCTTCTCCCCCCCCCCCCCCTTAAGATGTATCTTCCCCCCAGGCATGCTGTTAATTTGCTCTGGTTGGAGCATTATAAAATGTAGTTGAAAGATTGTACATGCTATGTATCCCATGGCCGTTACTAGTGAGTGCCTCACCAACTGACATAGTACAAAACGAAGTCCCTGAAAGACAATTTCTATCAAATAGAAGTGATGCTGGTGGTGAAATGTCCAAAAAAAAGAAGGTAAAGAAGAGGCATATAGACTTCTCAGGTGCTGACCTTGTTAGCACATTTTTTCACTTGAGATTAATTGCAAGATCACTTTTTAAGCCTTAATTAACTTAAAGCAGTGGAATCTGTTTCTGGCACTGAGCCAGAAGGCATGTCTGGAATACGTCCTTAGCCTACTTATGCACCAGACATGCTGCGTTGTGCCATCGTGACTGTATGATGGCAGGAGCTGCTTAACCTGGCTAGCTGTTGATTGCACTTGGAGGTTAAGGTATTGGTTTAGTTGATGAAGCCTCAACAACTGATTTTGGAAAGCTTAAACATATACCTCTTACTTTGTATGTTACTGCTACAGCTGTTGGAAATGATTCATGCTTTGCCTGAATCTCACCATGTCTTTACCAAAAACAAAGTTGTTAGCAGAATTCTCAGAGGGAAAATGGTATGGAATTTCTTCGTCTTGTTGAAGTACGGTTGTCTAAACGAACATTTTTGCAAGCTTTTGGGTAAGAGAGGATTTCTGTCTTGATAATGGGTTTTTTCTTCCTGATATTGGGCAGGCTGGGTTAAATTTTGCTTGATAGTGAAATAAACTGCATTTTTAATACAAGCCCAAAGTATCAGTCCTAGAATAAAGAATTTTTAAATTTGTTGCATAAATGATATTTATAGTGCTTTTGTTGGATTTTTTTTTTTTTTTGCATTCATGCAGGTTGAATTTGAGTGCATCAATGAAAAGAAAAGACAGAAGAAAAAGAACTATAAAAACTCTGGTATTGTGAGCGTTAAGCACTGTGAGGTCAGTAATATATTCTGGTATGATTATTTATTTTTAAGTGTTCAGGCATAACAACTCACATCTAGTATGCCTTCACCCTCAAACTATAAGAAACTTTAAAATGTCTGAAAGTTCCAGACACAGTAAATATTTAAGGGCTCTGGTTCATATAAGGAGACAGATTGACAGCTGAATCACATATCTGTCCTCCGCTGTCCCCTCACTTGAAGATGCCATCTATATGGCAAAGGTCACTTACCGATTTGTAAGGCCATTCCTGAACCACTGCATTTCCCAACTCACCGTTTTATGGTGAATTAAAATCTGGTAAGTCAGTTGTAATATGTTGTTTTATAAATGATAGTGCTTTTGGAGCTGCTTTGTTGTCTGCCTGTAATTTTGTAAAAGGCCTGATTCTGATGCACTGAGTGTGTGATGGCCCATGCTGTAAATATCCTCACTGCAGTGGGTGGGTGGGATATCTATAGAGTAAAAGTAGTGCTTTGCATGGGTAAAGATAACAAATCTGGAACCTCAAAAGTTGCTGCAATAATACTTATGGTTTTTCTCCCATTAAAAAAAAAGTTAATTTCTATCTTTAATGTCTATTTTTAGATCATAGTAGAATGCACATTCCTTGATTACATCATGGGTGGGTGTCAGCTGAATTTCACAGTAAGTTCAATCATTTATGTAAAGTAGCTTTTGAGTTTTGGAACAAACTGAAGTATATAATTGAATGCTTGTGCTCTTCATTTGATTATTGTATTTTTTTTTTTTTGTTCTGTAGCATAGAGGGGGGAAGCCATTTTGCCAGAGTCCATCTAGTCTGTTTAGAAAAAAATATTTTCTTTACTTGTGGCACAAAGTTCTGGACCTGTAGTTATGTTCATTAGGATTTAGCTGAGATGTATGGATGGAGACCAAGGAGAAATATACAGTTCTCTGATTTACTTCAGGTTTCCTTTTCATAAGGGCTCTTCCCCCCCCCGCCCCATTCGCCTGACCAAAGATTTCACTTTTGCCCTTGATGGTGTTTTTCAAGGCCCTTTGCTTAATGAAAGCAACATACAGAAGCCATCATATGGGTTAGGACCCTTAAGTTATGTAATTCGCAAACCAAATGCAGCACAAATAACAGTAAGATGTCTTCACCCTGGCCATATGCCTCATCACCAAAGCAAAGACCCATGGAGGTCAGAGAAAGAACTATCTCTAGGCTTCTGTGGTGTCTGGCTAGTCATACTTCTGAGAGGAAAGATGTGTATGGCAAGACACAGGGTGAAAGTAATCTAACAGCTATTGAAGAGCTGCTGTGAATGGTAAGTGAAAGTAAACACAGTGAAAACCTAACAGATGAAAGTCATTTCAGCCCTTCTGAGAGATGCAGAGCTTCTGCTGGTTTTCTAGTGGCATTGTTTTAAGAATGTTAATATTCCAAGAAACCTACATCTAAGTATTGTGCCTGTTAGATTTGTAGATGTCCTGGTAACTACTGTTTACAACTCTTCCATGATTTTCATTTTGGCTTTGCCAGAGATAGGAAACAAAATTTTACCTCTAACAGCAATTTGATATAAATACTGCATTTGACAGGTGGGGATAGATTTTACAGGCTCCAATGGAGACCCTCGCTCTCCAGACTCTCTGCATTACCTCAGCCCTAATGGAGTTAATGAATACTTAACAGCCATTTGGTCTGTAGGAATGGTCATTCAGGATTATGATACGTAAGTTTTAGATTTGTATTTAAATGAATTTTTTAGATATGTATAGATTTTTGTGGTAGTTTCTTAAACCAGTGTTGAAGATGCCAGCAAATATATTGGAATTAAACTTCTGAAAAATGAAATGTAGAGCTAAAGAAGACTTCATAATCACTGCAAAATCACATAATCACAAGCAGAAGCTTGTGTTTACAGCAGACAAGCAAGGCTTTTCATCTGTGATGTAAAGAGGAGCATTAATTTAAATAAATGTTTGCATTCTTGCCAATTTGGTGTTAAAGACTGGTTTTGGTCCTAGAAACAATTACGGGGGGAACTTCCATTTAATTTTGCCTCTTAATGCTTAATAAACAACATTTTTGATGATCAAAAGCAGCACTGATTAGCTAAACTTACTGAACCATGACAGCTGTTAAAGGAAAGCACTGACATAATTTTCTTTAAAATTGCTTTTTTAGAGATAAGATGTTTCCAGCCTTTGGATTTGGTGCACAAATTCCTCCTTCCTTTCAGGTAATGGAATATGTAAATATACTACTTAAGACAACTATGAGTGCTTACTTCAGGAGGAGATTGTATATACAGTCCTGACTATGTCTTTTGTGTATTGACAGGTGTCACATGAGTTCCCATTAAATTTTAACCCATCAAACCCATTCTGTAATGGTAAGTCTGAGAAAGTAACATCAGACCTAGAGAATAAAATGTCTAGGGTGAAGGGATAAAAACGCTTGAAAGGTGAACTGTAAAGCATGTTGTTCTAATTAAATAATGAGTTTAGTTGTGTAGTGGGAAACAATTTTATAACCATTTTTTTAGTTATTAGAAATAGCATTTGGTCTCTCTTCTGTAATGATTTGTGAAAGAAGTGTTTTACACAGCTAGGGCGCAGTACAGGTAAGCTGGGAATGGTTCTCATGTTGCCAAGCCACGTCATTTTACTTCAACTGCTGGTGTGGAGTTGTCTGGTTTGAGTATGATGCTGCTAGTGCCTGTTCAACATGGCCTCTCTGTTCACACTACAAACTACCACAAGCTGCCAGGCAAAGAGGACTGTTGTCGTTCAGTTACACGCACTTGAGCATACAGTATTTGACCTTTCTAGTCACACAAAGCCAAGCATGTTAAGTGTGTTCATTAAGCATTGGTCAAGCTGAAGGCCTCGATTGCTCATGAATCCTTTTTTTCATCATGGTTAGTTTTAAATCTTTGCATCATCACTTCAACTAACTGATACATACAGTGTTTTAGGAAGATTGAGTGCTTCAAAATATCCTAATTCTAATATGAAAAAATTCATATGATCTGTTTGTGTTCTCTAGGAATCCAAGGCATTGTTGATGCATATCGGGCTTGTCTTCCTCAAGTGAAGTTATATGGGCCAACAAATTTTTCTCCAATTATAAATCATGTGGCAAGATTTGCTGCTGCAGCTACACAACAGCAAACAGCATCTGTAAGTTCTTTATAGTAGTGTGTGTATTTTTCTTACTTTTTTCTTTCCCTTCTAGTTTATAAATACTGTATTTCTCTTTTAAGCTTGTAAGCGTACTTGTTTTGGCATCTGGCCATTTACCTTGTGAATTGGTACCCTTAAAACAAGATAAAAGCTAACTGATTTTTTGCAGATTGTACACAACAATTCCCTCCTAAATTAACTAAATAAACTCTTCAGAGTTGAAATATCAACTTAAAAATATGTGGCACCTTTATGGTATCTTCTATTCAAAGCTCTTGCAGTGCTATACAGGTGTTAAAGTCTAATTTAAGCCTTTGCATATAGGAGAGTGATTTAACCTCAGCTGAGAAAAATCAACTAGACCTTTCACATCAGGTAGCTGAGACAGAGAAGTAAGGTAACGAAGAAATGGAGGATATAGGTCCTGACACCTAGGTACTAACACAGATAATTAACTGTCCTTACTATAAAGCTTTAGGTGTTGCATGTGCTGTGCCCTCTTCCCTATTAAAATTGTGTGCATGAGTTGTTGACCATATTAAGAAATAGGAATTCTGAAGAGCAAGTCTTGAGTATTGAATCATTTAGATAATAATCCATACAAGTTCAGCAAATCTGAAGCTATATATATCCTAAATAACTGATGATAGCAAATACTGGTATCTCAGATGTCATGTAAAATCAGAAAATAAGATTAGCTATTTCTGCATATAAAACTACCTGTGGAAACCAATTTGGAAAACAACTATGGATTTTCATATGCCAAGAGGTTTATAAGGTTTTGCCTTGGTAGCCTTTCAGTAGTAATTGTCATCAATATAGATATATATGTGTGTGCATATATATATACATATATATATATATATATATTAGGAAAGTAGCAAAACCTCTTGTACTTCTTTTTTTTCCTGAGAGTGCAATTTGCCTAGCAAGAGATTTATTTTTTTTCTGCCTGAAAGGATGTATTGAAGAAATTTTGCTGCCTTGCCATTTAATGCATATCGTAGATATTTTGAGTTGGGTTTTGGTTTTGGCATTGTTTTTTACAGTATGGGGGAAGTTTAAGAAGAGAGAAATAAATACAGTGTGATGTGCTACCATGTTGCTGGTCATAGCCTTCTCTGATCGTGGGTGCTTTTTAGACATTCTTGCTGGAGTGGGGGAATGGAGTCGTGGGGAGCAATGAGAAAAGGTGATACTTGAACACAGGAGAGAAGGGAAAACCAGTTATTTTGGAGGCAGATAAGGGAAGATGGGAAGCAAAGTACTGAAGAGGAAGATGTCTAAGAGTGCTGGGAGTACCTTCGGAACTTCAATTTGTGCTGCCCAGTAATCATCTGAAACGAACCAAGTGAGAGAAGACCAGAAGTTCAAAAAGTGTTTGATAGTTTCTGAACTTTGTACTTCCACCTTGTTCTTGATACTTCAATCCAGAACAAAGATGCCAACTTTTAGAAGCCCTGGCAGTATAGTGGAAGCAGCTCAAGTGGTACTTGAATAAATTACTGAAGGTACTGCAAGGTGGTCTCAGATGCCTTGGCAATTAACTTCATAAAGCAGCTAGGAATCATGATTAAAGGAATTTGAAAATGAGCATGCTGTTTTTCAGCATAAAAAGATGCATTTTAATCTATATTTAGGATTTTAGGGATACACTGAAAAAATGAAGGCCTGTTCCATTACCCGTGGTAGCACTCTCTTGTTCATCCATTCTTAACTGAATGAAGGGTAGCATTTCATAAAGGTGTTGATAGACCAGAAAGGAAACAAATACAAGTTTTACAGGTCTTATCTGTCCAAAACCTCAACAAACTGCCTTCTGTCCCAGGACAAGTACTTGGGAGATCGGTTAACTGTTGCTTTGTCTGGGGATTTTGGAGAGGAGAAGGGTGATACCACTGGCTTTTTGGGAGGTGGCCGTTTAAAGATGACTTCTTTTAAAAGATTACATTGTCCTTATAAATTTCTTCAGACTGTACAGATGAAGGCTGACCACAGCTTAGATATTTGATTGTAAAATTGAATGAGTGCATTGAACGTGCTCAAAGTGAAAACAGTATGTAGTCTGTACGTGCATTTTTCTAAGTGTACATGCCTGCATGCTTTCTATTTCTTTGTCATAACACAATGTTTATTGATTTGACAGCAATACTTTGTACTTCTGATCATAACGGATGGTGTGATAACAGACCTTGATCAAACTCGAACTGCCATAGTTAATGCTTCGAAATTGCCCATGTCCATTATCATTGTTGGTGTTGGAGGAGCAGACTTCGATGCTATGGAGTTTCTTGATGGTGACAATGGAGTTCTTAGGTCCTCGTCAGGAGAACCAGCTGTCAGAGACATTGTCCAGTTTGTGCCATTCAGGAAGTTCCAAAATGTGAGTAATCTTAATGGTATGCTTAATAAATATTTTAGAGGTATACTGGGTTTGCTAGGATATCCTACGTATAGTCCTAAGCTTTTGCTCTAAAATTAACTCTGAAGTCTGAGGTAAGTTTTTATCAAATGCTAAAAAAAAAAAAGGACAGAAGACTTCAGCATCTGTAGAATTTCCATTAGGTGAGCTGATTCATGCTTAAAAAGACTCCATTTCTGGTTTGAGCACTGCATTTCTGACAAGTTGCTGCAGGGGAATGACCTTTGTAAATGTCCCTTAGACTTGATTAAACAAATGGATGTGTTTTTCATTTGGGAGGAAGAACTTAATGTGGTTTTCTTCTTCTGGAATAGTGTTTTTTATTGTGGATGCCCATTTGTAAATGTGGATTAGTCTTACATTTTAGTGCAGTGTTAAAATTCAAGACTAAATCAGGGAGGTCATAATCAGTAGAAACTGTGTGTGGGCAGAATAGTGGTGATAGTTTTCATTTTCATTAAAGCAAATATACCAAAAAAATAGGCAGTGAAAGAATGGAGTCCTGATTTTTTTGCCATAGAACCCAATAAAATATGCACAGACTAATACAGTCCAGCTTTTAAATGTCATATAACTGGAAAAACTTGATTTAAAAAACAAAAAACCCAACAACCCAAAATTTTCTCAGGATGCCGAAAGTAAGATCAATATTTTTATTTCCATCCTAATATGTTCTAATTTTGTTTTGTTTCTTAATAGCAACCCTGTTAATAGTATTCCTCATACCTCCTTATTTTGACTTTGTATTTTTATTTTTACCTTTGATACAAGTTCTTTGTTTAATCTCAGAGCAACTCAGGCAAACTGAAAGGAGAAAGAGAGCAAAATCAATATAGAATATGCTTACTGAGTAATGTGTTTGGATGTAGTTTAACTAGGGTCAATATTCAGTATAAAATTATATATTCAAATGCTTTCGGTTTCTAGAAAAAGATGCGCTTTTTTTTCCCCATGGATACGTAATCTTAGAGTAAAAACAGTGTCTCTAGAAGGGCTGCTCTGTAGCAATACAGTTACTGTGGATGACACTCGGTGCAAGAGATTGCAGATGTTTAGACAAGCCCCTGAAGCGTCATCTTAAGCAGATAGTGGAAGTGTGTTTACATGGCTGAAGTTCGATGTCTGCGCTGTGTGTGTGTACTTCGTATGACAGAAGGTATCTTCAGACACGGCAGCCCTTTTGTGCACCCAGCTCCTGTTAGTGAAGTGGAACAAGGCAGCCAGCTGGTTCCTGGTAATGCGAGTGAGAAGGTAAAGATGTGAGGGAAGCTTCTGTCTGTCCCACAAGGGTGCTGTGTAAAGTCCTCTGTAAAATGTCGGACTTTAACTTGGCCTAGTAGAGGAGGTGCTTATTACCCATCTTAGGATCTCCTTTAACAGTTGGTAGAAACTGAAACTTGGTGTTCTTTTTTTGTAAGTCTCCAAAAGAAGCTCTGGCGCAGTGTGTCCTCGCAGAAGTCCCTCAGCAAGTGGTGAACTACTTCAGCACCTACAAACTGCAACCTCCTAAGAATCCTGCTGCAAAGTGAATGGGCTGAGCAGGGATGCTGAGACTTTGTGCTTGCTTTACTTGCCGTACTACAGACTTTGGTCTCAAGATACTTCTGTATACGTGTATACACGCACCTCTGTATGGTAACGTCTGTTAGCTTTTGCCTGCAAATCACTTTGCCAAGCGTGCCTTTTAAGGGCCAAAATTGTAATTGTGTTAATATTTGATGTTGATTTGAGAGATAGGGCTTACACAGGTGCGTTTTATTTTGAAAAGTAAGAGTGGAGAAAAAGAGGCTGAATATGCAGAGAGAAGGGGGAGAACGGCTGGAAGCAGAACAGCTGCCTGTTTGATAAATATGGCCAGTGGGAGCGTTCAGTTACTTTTGTGGGGATCGGCACTGAGGACTGCAGTTTCTCAGTGATCATAAAACCATTCTGAAATGAAAAAGAGGGTATATTCCCACCAAGCAGGTAAAAGTTTGTAGGTGCTTCAACAAATTTGGAATACTTCAAGCTTCTGTGCCTATTAAGCCACCATAACAAAATTTTGTCACAGGAGTTTCCTAATTAGACAAGTGCCAGAACAGAGTGTAAAGGCCCTCCTTGCATGCCTGCTTCACATTTGTCACTTCGGTGCCTTTGGCCAAAGCCTGGGATTCAGGGCTGTGTGAACATGAGCCAATCAAGTCATTAAAGTATATATTCTTTCATAATATGCAGTCTCTTAAGGTAGTACAGGGAGAACTAGGGTGAATCAAGGTAAACTTCTATCATCTCAGAAGAATACCATTGGCCTTTGAGGCTGCTATTGTAAAGGCTGTAAGATGTTTTTCAGTGTGTACTGTACTGGAAAATGGGAACTTCAGATTTTATTTTGGTTGGGTTTTTTTGTTTTGTTTTTTTCCCATAAAACAGTCATGACTATTGATCTTTAAAGGGCTTTTTGTGAAGTGGGAATTCACTTTTTAGTTAAAAAGTGCTTGTCTGATTTATAACTGCATATTTTCAAGCAAAGACAGTTGTTGAAAGTGCTACCCAATTTATATTGGTTTTGTCGTATTTTGAATCAAGCTTCTTTTTCATGAGCTCACTAATGAAAAGTGCCTGCAAAAAAAAAACAATCTTCCCTCTTCCCTCCCAGTGGGAAGACATAAGAAAGTCTCTAAGCTCTAATCCTATAATCATATTGTGTTTCTCTAGGGAAAACAACTTCTGGTTTATTTTCTTGGCTTGAGTTTTCTCTTCACCATTTACACCAAGTGTAAATCATGTGCCGTTTGCTTAGTGAACAGATGAAGCTTCCTCGTCTCCCAGTTGCATGCTGCTTGCTGAGGATCTCTTCTGATCCTGTCAGTGCGCGTAACGTAAGTGGATGTAAAGGTCTCATTTATCACTTCCAAAACGCCCATCTTGAAGATTAATTTTGCAGTTCCACATTTGAAGTGGTTTAGAGTTAAACATCCAGCTGATCTGATTTTGGATGGTCTAGCTGTAACATGTAAGAACAAGAATGGACTAACACTAAATTTAGCATACTTGGGCACTCAAGGTTGCACCAGGTCATAGTGTGTGAGACTTTATGTTACTTTTTTTTAGTTGCGGGAGCTGCTCTGTGTGGTTTATTTTTAATTTTTTTTTTCATACATGTATAATGTCAAAAATCTGAATTCACATTAACATTGATGGATGAAAGATTATATATATTGAGATTGTCTTACACAACCTGTAAAATATACCAAATGTTTTGTAGACAGTTTACTGGTTATCACAAGTGAGTATGTTGTTCTCCACTCCTATTTTCTTTGGTGGAAGGGGGTGCTAAATAGTTTTGGTAGTGGAATACTAAGGGAGAGGTTTTGTTTCATATTAAGCCAAGCTCTTTGTTTTTTTTAAATCGAATTCATGTGTTTGTTTATATAAAAATCTACAGGCTTTTTATCAGTGTAGTGCAAGCATGTTAACTACTTTGTACATAAATTATAATGAAGTGTCATGCCAGATATGCAACACAAAATACTAAGATCAAGGAAGTAGTTATAATGAACCTAAATCACACTGCTGCAAATTGATATTGTATGATTTTGGAACAGTAAACTGTTTCACAGCTACATCCTCCATGTACAGAGATAACGGGATGCAGTATTAATGCTTTGTCTAGGTTCATTGATGTGGATGGGTAGTGCTGATAGGAGTACAGGATACTACTGAAGTGCCTCTGAGCTCTCTGCCAAAAATATAATGCTGCATCTGAGTTCTGTTACCAATTCTGTTTTAAGTTACCATAGACATGCATTTAAATGCATTTAAGTGTGTTAATAGCTATTATTATACTAAATAGGTGCTGCATATAAAATACGTAAACCATTTTGTTTTGTCTGTATTCTATACAGAAATTCTGAGTTTCTACAGTAGAGAATTCATTCTCTCTTATTGGAAAAGTGTCCCATGTTCCTCAAGCTTAGGGAATTAAATAGCATATCAACAACACTTCTCAATGTGCCCTATTGTGTGTAAAAGAAGAGTGTGTCAGACCTGATAGCGACAAGAACCATTTTCGCAGTATAACTCCTCTTAGAGGTATGCAGCTAACAGCCTGTTGGAAAATTTGGGTACTTCCAAGTTAGGCTGAAGCAATATTCTGAGTCAAGGAATGCAGCAGTTGGTGAGTCAAGGGGGAGGGGAGTTATTTTGTTGTTTTGCCATTTTTTGTTTGTTTATTTTTACATGTAAAAAATGCCTTATTAGTGTGAGGGTGACAAAGCAAAATATCCTCAAAGTTTTATAAAGTGAATGTGCTTGTAGGTCACTTGCACCACCTTGTGATAAAAATGATGTATAGCAGTCTTCATAATCAGAAGCTTTTTGCCATTTAATGTTCGTAATATATACATATGTACAGCAGAGAAATAACCTGTAACCAGAATTTTTTACTTTCCTGTGTATTTCAGTTCTGATGAAGGTAACTGATTTACAAAGCCTATGCATTAAAAATATAATTTCAGTATACTGTTCTTCTGTTGTACTTTTATATTCAGCATTTTCTGTGTAATGATCAATGCCGCTTTTGCAGTTCCTATGATGAGTATTCCACAGGCTGAACAGCTCAGATTTATAACAAGTATTATCAGATGAGAGGAAAAACGCTTTTTCACTCAGGTTATGAATGTGCAGTGTATATTTCATAAACCATCACGTACAGGCTTTTAGCAAGAAGATATTCTAAAATTGGACAGTTTTAGCAGTGACTGTTTCATGCTCTTTGCCATGTAAGAGTTCTCCCATGCATGCTTATTTCATACAATTATTACCAGGTTTTCCAAATCTCTTTTTCAGAACAGCATCTACATTTTACGTAGAGAGACATGGAGATTTGCTTATTTTTAGTTTTCAGATACATTGTCCTACTCCACCCTTCAGTTTCTTGATACTCAAACGTAGTCAAGTCTGAGATACTTCATTGCGAAACAGAGATACTAGAGAGACAGCGTTGCAGCAGAGTCTGATGTCATACAGAACCTTAATGAAGTCTGACACTGGAAGTTGCATTTTGTAAGTGCTCTAGAGTAAGTTCCTGAAAGGTGTTTAATACATCTTACAAAAGGAGCAGGTCTTGACCTTTCTTGTGTCCTTCCTTCTGGTGAAAGCCCTATAAATAGTTGCAACTTGGATTCTTGGACCCTTCCTGCCTGTGCCCACCCCCAAAAATGGAGGAATTTTGGGAAGTGGAAGATACTCCAATAACAGAAAAGTAGGATGTCATAGAATCATAGAATCATTTAGGTTGGAAAAGACCCTTAGGATCATTGAGTCCCACCGTTAACCTAGCACTGCCAAGTCCACCACTAAACCATGTCCTCAAGCACCACGTCTACCCTTCTTTTAAATACCTCCAGGGATGGAGACTCAACCACTTCCCTGGGCAGCCTGTTCCAGTGCCCAACCACCCTTTCCGTGAAGAAGTTTTTCCTAATATCCAGTCTAAACTTCCCCTGGCACAGCTTGAGGCCGTTTCCTCTTGTCCTATCGCTTGTTACTTGGGAGAAGAGACCAACCCCTCACCTCACTACAACCTCCTTTCAGGTAGTTGTAGAGAGCAATAAGGTCTCCCCTCAGCCTCCTCTTCTCCAGGCTAAACAACCCCAGCTCCCTCAGCCGCTCCTTGTAAGACTTGTGCTCTGAACCCAGAGAAAACCAGATGGCTGTTACTTCTGTGTGGCCGTGATCTTCTCCAAATACTGACATTTCTCGTCTTTCATTCTGGATCTAAAGAACATAGGAGCTGTGCATAACTTGGTAATTTTGCAGGCAGAACTGACAGGTTTTCCTGCAATCCTGAGCTGTTAAGAGCTGTAGCAAAGCCGCAACTCGTGGGATGCTTTGTTGCTGCAGTGTCATGCTTGCTGCTGCAGTCTCAGCCCTTATTTGTAGTATATGTCAGTGTGTGACGGATGAACTCAAGTATGCCGACAGTGAAAATGTTTGAAGTTACATGGCAGCATTTGTGTAGGCAGAAGGGGATTGGATCTTTTGCAATGAGAAAGATTTACTCGTTAATATCAAAATGTTAAAATATGGGGGTTTATGTGTTTTTTTTCCCCCTTCCATAATGTTTTGACAACTCTCTCTGAATAAAAAGATGTGAGAACTGTATATTGTAATGAATTCATAGATCATTATTATTCACAGAAGGCCTCATTTGTGAAGCAGTTCTGCAATATTTCTAATTTTGGGGTTGTATTGAGGTGTTCCTGGATGTGCAATAGATGAATAATTCTTTATGATGCATCTTAGCGTTTTCTACCTCTGTTGTGACATCCTTTTTTCTTACATATCAGATAACAAGTAATGTACAAATAAAGATGGTTCTTCCCATGTAGCAGCTGAACCTTGACCTCACTGCTGACGTGACAGAACTTGATTTTTGAGAGAGATTTGGGTTTTGGTCATGTCAGAGGATGTGTGGAACATACAACATACGGAATTCAGTCATCCAGCTTTTACTCAGGCAAAGCTCCCACTGGTTCTGGTTGGGCTGCCAGCTTTGCCTCTGATGAGAGAAGTTCAAAGGCTTTAAAGAACAGGCCTACAGAATGCATGGCCTATAGGATCATATATAGCTTGCAAAGTAAATGTTTAATTTTGGCCTGGTGCCTGCCTTGGGTGGCTGGTCAGCTGAGGAGCTGTGAAGCCTGTCCTTATGGTTTCTTGGCTTGGCCTCTGCATAATGGTCTTAGTTCCCAGAGCTGTTCATCCAGTGGGGACGGGAAGTGGACAGGAAGAGAGAGGAGATGCAAACCCATGGAAGAGAGAAAAGTAATTG